AGAGTGGGTGCCGAGCCGAGGAGCGGTGCATGCACTGCGCTTGCCGCCCAGGTGACCAGGCACCCGCGCTCGCTGTCGCCCCCGTTCAAAACAGGCACATGCCCAGCGCAGGGCATCCCGTTCTGCCGACGCGGGGCTGGGAGCTGTTGTGAGGTGCGCTGCGGCGGTGCAGCTGGCAGGCCAGGCCAGGCACCCGCGCCCCGGGCCGCTCCCCCAACCCACCTTGGCGCGCGACGCGATGCCCACCGCGCCCTCGTCGCTCACATCCCCCAGCGCGTCCACGCGCACCCCCAGCGCGCACTTGGCCGCCAGCACGCGCGAGATCTTGCCCTTGAACTTGGGCGCCGCCTGGCCGATGAGGGAGGCGTGGTAGATGAGGCCGTACTTGGGCGTCTCGTGCTTGGTCTTCAGAGCCCTGCGCGCGGCGGGCGGCGGGCCAGGGGGCGCGCTCGGCGGTGGTGCACGTGCATGTGTGCACGCGTGCGTGCGTGCGCGCGTGCGTGACAAGGGATCAAGCCAGCGAGGGGCGTGCGCGGCGGGGACGAGAGGCCTGCGTGCCACGGCCACCACCACCCCGGAGTGCCCCCCCACCCCCCACCCCCGGCGTCCCGCCCCCCGCACCTGAACAGCGCCTTCTCCGCGCCCAGGATCTGGATGGTGGAGGCGGGGGCCTTGGCCAGGTTGATGAGGGAGCCGACGTGGGCGATGAGGCGCGCGCCCACCAGCTCCCCCACCAGCACCGTCAGGTTGGGGGCCACCGCCGCCATGCGGCTCTTGAGGTAGTCGTACAGCTGGCCGCGGTACTCGCTCAGCGCGATGACCTCGGTCGCACAGGTTGAGGATGTTGGCCACGTCGTCCTCGCTCACCTCGGTGCCCATGGACACCCCGGCTGCATGGGGGAGAGGGAGAGGGGGGGCAGAGCGGGTGGGGAGGGGCGCGGGTGAGGCTGGGGTGGTGGAGAGGCTGGGGTGCAGGAGAGGCTGGGGTGGTGGAGAGCGGGGGGAGGTGGGGGATGGGCAGGCAGGCAGGCAGACGTGCAGGCGCGCAGCGCAGCCCCCGCGCACCGGCCTCCTTGAGCTGCCCCTCCGCCTCCTCCTCCAAAAAGTCGGAGAAGTCAATGCCCGCGGCCTGGTCGCGGGTGCCCATCAGCTTGACTGCACGCAGGCAGGGGGAGTGTGTGGGGGTGCAGGGGCGCGTGTGGGCGTGCTGGAGTGTGGGGCACGCGCGTGTGTGTGTTCAGGGCCAGGCCCGGCCAGGAGCCACCATCGCATCGCCCCTGCTTGTGTCTGCCACCGGCTGACGCAGCCGCCGCCGCAGCCGCGTCGCAGGCACCGCCCCCCCGGCTCCCCGCTGCTGCCACAGGCGCCGCCCCCCCGGCGCACCCGTCTTTGCATAGGCGATGTTGTCTGCCACAATCTTGGTCATCTCGGGGAAGTGCCAGCCGTACCACTCGCGCACGCGCATGGCATACGTGTTGAGCTCCTTGTCCAGATCATCCAACAGGCCAATGGCCTGATTGCAGGGTGGGTGGGCAGGGCACGGCAGGGGCGCGGGTCGGCGGGGCGCGCGGAGCGAGGTGGTGGCGGAGTGGGACGGCGGCCCGCTGCGGGCCGCCGGGGCGATCTGCCTGCGCTGGCAGCCGTGGCCCTCGGCCCGCCCCTGCATCGCCGGCATGGCCCGCCACGACAGCTCTGCTGCTTGCCAGCCCCCGCCCCGAACCCCCAGCCCCAGCGGCAGCAGCCGCTGCCGCTCCCCTCCCGCCGCACCTGCACAATCATGGTGTCCACCTTGTCCGGCGAGAACTTGAGCTTGTAGCGGGAGAGGGAGTGGGAGAGGCCCAGCGACATGGGGCGCAGGTCTTGAGCGCTGAGCCCGCCCACCAGGTTGGTCAGCTGGTTGCGGATGCCGCGCGTCAGCTCCATCACTCCTGACGAGTACAGGCAGTTGATGCCCAGCTTCTCCTTGATCACGTTGCCCAGCTTGGCGTCCAGCACAGCCAGCGTGTCGCCCTCGGCGTGCTTCTTCAGAAACTTCTTCAGCCCTGCGGCGCGAAGGAGGCGGGAACGGGAGCAAGGCGGGGTCGGCAGGGAGCATACCAGGGCAGCAGTGCTGGTTACCGCCACAACCAGGCCGCTGTGTCCTGTGCCGCATGCGTGTGCTACGCTGCTGTCTATGCGGTGCTGGCTTGCTGCGCCTGACTGCGCCGTCTCACCCTTGCTGATCTTGCTGTCCACCAGCGAGGCAGCCGCCTGCAGCGCCTCGGTCGTGTTCTCAAACTTGCTGAACGCCTTGAGCTTCACCACCTTCTTGGCGGCCTCGGGAGTCTCGAAGTCAGACCACACATCCTGCGGGCGCCAGGAGTGCTGGTGTGTTTCAGGCGGAGGGAAAGCAGGCAGGAGGCGTGGCGGCGAGGCGGCGGGGCGGCAGCCGGCGGCTGGCGTGGGGCACCCCATCGCTGATGCTGCGGGCATGCTTCCATCCCCAGCCTGCTGCTGAGAGGATGGCGGGGGTCGGCCGCAGCTGTGTGTGCACCACACTGCTGCATGCTGCACTGCCATGCATGCATTCACTGCTGCGGGGCGAGGCAGCCTCCCGAGCTCAGTACCCACCTTGGTTTCCGCCTCCCGCAGCTTGCCCTCGTCCAGCACCTTGAACAGCGCGAACCCTGCGCTGGACTCGAAGAGGAGCAGCATGGCGGCGCCTGCACCCCTCTGCCGTGCCGATGGGCGATGCACAGCAGGAGAAGAGATGAGGGAAGGGCCTGGCGCGCAGGTTGCATCATTGCCCCCGTGGCAGCGATGGGCTGGGGGCGATAAAGGGGCTTCCGAGCGGCCCTTTCTATCGAGTCATATCGCCATCGAGCGGGTGGCAGTGCTAGGAGCGCGGGCCAGCGAGCTGCAGAGGCCTCTCGGCGCCCGATCCCACTGGGGATTCCGCACAGGGCCCCAGCACCAGCAGGCGTGGCAGCATGGATAGCCAGGTGCTGCAGGTGGTGAGCGGGGATGGCCAGTTCAACACCGGCGGGGTGGAGCAATTCGTCAAGGACACGGGCGTCGAGGGCGCCGGCGTGGGCTACACCGTGGTGGCCATCATGGGCCCGCAGAGCTCCGGCAAGAGCACCCTGCTGAACAACCTGGTGAGGTTTTCCGCCGGCAGCTGGCGGCGGCAGGATCTGCCCGCCCATTTCTGGCGGCGTGTCGCTGCCTTGGCACCGCTGCTTTTTCTGGCCTCATTGCCACATGCACGGTAGGTGTGGCGAGGCACGGGAGACCTGGTCAGCCTGAGGCAGCCTCCCCCGCCCGCCTTCCGCCCCGCCCCGCAGTTTGGCACGCGGTTTGAGGAGATGGACGCGCTGAGCGGGCGGCACCAGACCACGCGCGGCATCTGGCTGGCGCGCTCCCCCAAGGTGGCTGCGCCCACCACGCTGGTCATGGACCTGGAGGGCTCCGACGGGCGGGAGCGGGGCGAGGACGACACCAGCTTTGAGCGCCAGTCGGCGCTGTTTGCGCTGGCGGTGGCCGACATTGTGCTGGTCAACATGTGGGCCAAGGACGTGGGGCGCGAGAGCGGCGCGGGCAAGCCGCTGCTCAAGACCATCTTCCAGGTCAACCTCAAGCTGTTCCAGGTGGGTGGGTGGGGGGCCGAGTGGTGGGCGGGGCTGCATGGGGCGCCGGCTGCGGGTGCTTTCTGATGTGGGGGCGCAGCGTGTGGCGGGATGGTTGCCGAGTTGCTGCTTTGGTTTGGTTCCTAGCCCGGCTCTGCCCTCCAGCCTCCCCCTCTCATGGTCATGCTCTGCCCAGCTCTCACCGGCTCCCGCGTGCCCGCGCCTCTCCGGCTGCAGCCGGCGCCCAGCCGCCGCCGCACCGTGCTGCTGTTTGTGTTCCGCGACCGCACCAAGACCCCGCTGGAGAAGCTGATTGAGACGTGGGAGGGGGACCTGCAGCGCATGTGGGAGGGCATCACCAAGCCGCCGCAGTACGAGCAGTACACCCTCACCGACTTCTTCGACCTGCAGTACGCCGCGCTGTCCAACTACGAGGACCGGCAGGAGGAGTTTCTGGCGGAGAGCGTGCTGCTGCGCCGCAAGTTCAGCGGCGGGGACGGCTCGGGTGGGTGTGGCTGTGGCTGTGGCTGTGGCTATGGCCGGGTGGTGGTGTGCGGCTTGCCGGGGGCGTGGCGGGAGCCAGTCGGGATGGCAGCAGGGCCTGGAGTGGGGCAGGCAGGGCTGGTTGGCTGCCCGCCCGCCGTTGCGCGCCGCTCCGTATTCAATCGCTGGTGCGTGCCTCTGCTGCGCCTGCTGCGCCTGCTGCTGGTGCAGAGGAGGAGGGCAGCTTCCTGCGCGTCAGTGACGAGAAGCTGCCGGGGCACGCGCTGGCGCTGAGCATGTGCAAGGTGTGGGAGGTGGTGCGCGAGCACAAGGACCTCAACCTGCCGGCGCACAGGGTGAGCTCCGCCGGGCGCTGGTGGTGGTGCGTGCGCGCCTCCGCCGGTCGCGTGTGCGAGTGTGTTGCTGGAGTGGTGGTGGTCATGTGTGTGTGTGTGTGTGTGTGTGGAAGGAAGGAAGGAAGGAAGGAAGGAGGGCCTGCTCGTCGCAGCATCTGCAGCCCGCTGCTGCTGCTCCCTCGCGCCCTGGCGCCTACCCCTCTACGTAGCGCTCTACAGCGCCTGCCCCTGCGCCCCTGCCCCCCTCACCACCCCCACCACCACCCCACACATCACCCTGCCCCTGCCCCCCCTTGCAGGTCATGGTGGCCAACATTCGGTGCGGCGAGATCATAGCGGAGCAGCTGGAGGCGTTCCGCGGCGACGGCGCGTGGCTGGCGCTGGCGCAGGAGGCGGGGCAGGACCTGGCGGTGTGCTTTGGGCAGCGGGCGGCAGACCTCATGGACTCGTGCCTGGAGGGTGGGTGGGCGGCTGACTGGTGGCGGCGCCGCATGCGCCTGTGCCTGTGCTGCAGGCTGAGGGGCAGGGCCGCAGGCTGC